CCCCGCCACTGGACGCTCCATCCACGGGGTGCAGCGCATCCCACCCAACACCACTGTGACGGCGTGGCGGGTACCCCCCGTCCTGCATCCCTGTAGCAGCAAGATGAGACTCTGCCAGCCAGTAGAATAGAGGGATTTAATTTCTTCTAAGAGCACAGCCCAGATTCTTTGTGGGCATTGAAGTGAGGGGCCAGGCAGCCTCAGACCCCTTGGGGTGGGGCCACAGGCCCCCGACCCCCCAGCACTCAGCTCAGGCTCTTCTCTTCATGTTTTCCCAGCCAAAAACTGCCCAGCTCCCTTTGTCTCCCCCAGGAAGAGCCTTGTTATTTGCTCATGCTGGGCCTAGGTGTCTGGGCCAAGCCACGTGGGCGAGTCAGTGGGAATCACACAGCCCAGTGCAGGGAACTCTGGGTCACAGAGCAGACAGGCCCCCCCCCCCCCCCGCACCCCCCCGCCGGGGAAATCATCCACTTGCACTTCAGTTGGGAGGACAGAGAGAAGTGGGGGGGCACCAGTTTGTCCTGGCCACGCATGGAGCCTCTAGCACATCGTCAGGCTGGTGCGTGCAGCGCCGTGGGCGTAGCAACCTCTTCCTGCCCGGCTGCAGGCCACGTGGGGTGCAAGCTGGTGCTGCAGAGAGCTGCGCTACAGGAAGAAAAACAAAACTCCCACTGGCCAGCTTGCTCCATAGGTTAGCGCAGTAACTCCCCCCGCCTAGCTGGGGAGAAGGGTGCTCAGCCTCTGCCCAGCCTCCCGCAGTCCTGTCCCCAGATGCAGGAGACGCACGTCGGCCCCACTGAAAGGAGGGGCAGAAACCGCCACTGCTGGGAAGGGCAGTGCGGCTGGGGAATGGGGGCATCATGGAGGTGCCCGGGGTGAGGGGCAATGGAGGGGAGAACACAGACCCTGGGCTCATCCCACTGCCTGCCCAACTGGCCACCTCATCACCCGCCCACACAGCACCCTGGACAGCGTCCCTCTGGGGCCATCTCACTGCAGCGTAGACAGTCATGCCAGTGCCTCACCAGCCCTCATGCGGGGAGACAGGAACTGCAGGACCCCAGCTGATGGTGCCTCACCCGAGCGATGGCTTGAGCAGGGGGGCAGAGCTGAGCTGGCAGAGCTAAGCAAGAGCTGCTCACAGGAGTGCGGCGCATCCTGTGGGGCGAGTGGGCCCAGGCCAGCGTCTCCGCCCAAAGACTCCAGAGTCACTGTAGAGCAGGCTTCCCAAACGTTTTGACATGGGGACCAGTAAATCCATTCATGAACTTTCGGAGGACCGGTAACATTCATTTGCATATTTCAATATTCATTAATCAAATGATGAACATTCAAATAAGTTGTTGCTGGTCCTCCCAAAGCCCCCAGTGCCAGCTTTAGCATAGCTTGTGATACCCACAATATTCTTGCCAGCAAGTTAAGGAACATGGACTGGCTAAATGGACTGTAAGCCAGACAGAAAGCTGGTTAGACCAGGGTTTCCCAAACTTTTTACTTTAGTTGGAACCCTTCCCCCCCCCCACCTACTGTTTTTTGCAGCCCAAAAATATAAACACCAAGGCTGTGTCTAGACTGGCAAGTTTTTCCGCAAAAGCAAGTGCTTTTGCGGAAAAACGTGCCAGCTGTCTACACTGGCTGCTTGAATTTCCACAAGAACACTGACTTCCTACTGCCTGAAATCGGTGCTTCTTGCGGAAATACGATGCTGCTCCCGTTCGGGCAAAAGGGCCAGTGTAGACAGCTCAGATTTGGTTTGCGTCAAAAAGCCCCAATCACGAAAATGGCGATCGGGGCTTTTTTGCGCAAAAGCGCGTCTAGATTGGCACGGACGCTTTTCCGCAAAAAGTGCTTTTGTGGAAAAGCGTCCTGC